TCCGCTAACAAGAATCTTAGCTCTGCTAATGCTAATAGATAAAAAATTAGCTTCACTAACCACTAATCCGCTAACAAGAATCTTAGCTCTGCTAATGCTAATAGATAAAAAATTAGCTTCACTAACCACTAATCCGCTAACAAGAATCTTAGCTCCGCTAATGCTAAATAGATAAAAAAAAAATTGTGGAAGCTAACTGCTAAGACGGTTAGCAGGTTAGCTTTAATTTGGAGGTGGGATCATCTGTGTCAATACAAACCAGAGTTATAACCCTGTCTAGTTTGTGATACTTCCAGTTTACCCCTTTCAAAATAAAAGCATTTATTTGTGTAAAGTTAATCTGCTAAATGAGACACTAGTTCCACTATTAAGGGATTATCAAGTTAGCCTAACTTTTCCCACCACTGCTGTTTTGCTTCTCAGTTTTGCATTAGATGGGTATTTCAGCAGAAACTGTGTGGCATCGGAAGTGCTACTGCTAGCTGCTTCTGTGGCCTTTTGCATTGATTGACAAATAACCATTTTTGAGATTAAAGTTGCTTCAAGGGTGAGTTTACTCGCTAAAATTAGCAGGTCGCTCATCAGTCTGGTCAGAAACAAACTAATTTCTTCCAAACTGAGGTTGCTGAAAGAATTATCTACAACAGGTAAGATACTGACTGTTAAGAACATTTTCACYGAGCCTCTTTTAAAGTATCTAATCTGTTGTTTTAATGGTGTCTGTTGTTGGTTTGTGAACTCACAAACAGACTCTCAGAAAGGAAATAAAGCCAAAACTGCTGACTAGATTTTCCTGTTTTTTTTTTTTTTTACAGGCAGGAGGGAGGGTGAGCTGGTAATTATGTCAAAATTACGCAAGGACACAAAACTGCTGCTCGGTTAAAGGAAAGAAATGCCACGAAAACATGTTGAAGTTGGTCCAACGTGCCAAGAATAAGGAAGCGAGGTGTGTTAACGTAACGAGTTCTTCATTCCAGCCTCACTCAAATAGTCSAAAAGTGAGCGAACATGAGTGTGGAGTGAGGTGGATGCACACACACCGTCTCACATTAAATCCAAGTCTGATCCCCGGTGAGCGAGTTTATTTTGCTGCCCAGCGTGTGCTTGATGAAAAAAAAAATTGGAAAGAGCAGAGCAGACCAGTTCAGACCAGTCTGTGAGGGGATTCATGCTTTCATCTCATTGTTTCTGGATCACTGTAATCTGCACACCCAGAAACACTGAGTTCATTCAGCACGACGCTCAGGAKCTCAGTTACTGAGCTTTTCAACAAGATTTTTATCCTTCAGAGGTTAAATCAACTAAACACGTGTCRTATCTTTCAGTTACAATGAACAAATATTAAGAGATAGAATCAAATTATCGTTTTGATGATCTGAGAGTAAAATGCAGCGTGAAGCAAGGTCATCCACGACTCATAAATTCATATATCTGGTGGACTTTGAGTCATGTTGTGTAATAATGTTCTCTGAAATCACACTCTCACCTTCCTGATGGTACATTTTGATAACTTGTCTGCTTCTAATCTCATTTCTGCTGAATTTTGTTTGCAAAAAACGTTCCTTTCTGTACATTTTAATGCTTTTATTGACGAGAACGTGAGACCTCTAGTTTCTCTGTCAGGGCGGGTGGAGATGGTTAACACATCGATACATTCACTGTAAAAAAGACCAGGCGCGTTTCGATCGAACAACTGTAAGAGCAAAGGTGAGCAGAGCTATAAACCTACAGTGTTGTGCAAAAGCATTCTTTATTGCATTTTTTCATCACTGGCTACATTTGTCTGCATGAAGTCAAATCAGAGGTGGTCAGAAATGAGCAGCGGTGGGCACAGCTCCGCTAATCTGCTGATAGCAGTTAGCTATTTTGCTAACTTTGGAAACCGTTAGCAGACCTATTAGCATCCGCTAAATTGGTCTTCTGCTAATTTTAAGTCCGCGAAAACAAATTCACAAGTGTAAAGCTTCGATTTTTATGCMGTTTATCCCAAATTAAACAAAACCTCTTCCCTTTGTGCTGGACGTGTCAGGCACCCCGTAGCACGTAGCRTCTTTAGCAGCTAAACGTCACACTAAGAGCGTCAAAAAGAAATAAAAATAACATTTACCAATATTTAAATAACCAATTCACAAACTGACTATGTATGAAATATGGTAGAGAGAGTTTTTGCTGTTTGTTGTTCAACTTCAAACTGTATTTATAAAAAATGATATGAAGACTGCGAGTCATCTTAGCAGTTAGCTTCCTCTAATTTTACAATCTGTTTAGCCATTTAGAGTTAGCAAAACTAAGATTCTTGTTTAGTGGATTAAATAGTGAAGCTAACTTTTTGTTTAGTTGTGCCCATCATGGCAAAAGAGGATTAACATGAGAGAATATAAAGTTTTTATGTCGATCCTCTTTGTTTTTGGTCCACCAAAAATAGCTGTTATTTGTTGGTCCAGTCAGAATCAGGCAACACCTGTTCATATTTTTTCCTCTCATTWACTCTATAATTATGATCGCAGACATGCATGTCCTCTCAGAGGACCCCTCTGGCATCCATCATGGGGTGCTGCAGCACTGMCTACACCCCTACTTCTCACAGCCTTGGCATTAATCCGCTTTATTTTATAACAGAATCAAGTCACTTCAGTATATTTCTTTTTTTTTATTTTAAATATCAGATTGAGAGTCTTCATAGGTCGTCTCTGTGTGTAAATCAGCTAAATCAGCTAAATCAGCTAAGTGCTAACTCAGCTGATAAACTCGTCAAAACGAACGACCACAACCTGAACGATACAAACAAAGTCATCCGCTATAAAATCCTTTTTGTATGGTTTTTTTTAAGTTCCCTGCAGAACTGGCTGTAACAGATCCAGGTTCTTGGAGGATCATATTTAGCTCAGTATTGTGTTTGCCCCCGCTCCACCTCATAAACATGTTTACACACCTCTCCTTCTGCTTGGCTGCACGCCCTTTCCCCTTTCCCCTCTGGCTCTGCCCTCCTTTCATGACACAACTCTCTTCCTGCCTTTTTTTTAAATTTAATTATCTGTTTGTTTTAAAAAGAAAAGATGAGTAAAGTAAAGGAGGACTGATGGAGAACATGAAGTCCCCTCACTKCTGTGTTCACATCAGTCAGCAGCTCTGCTCACACGTGATCAGCAGGCCTGAGATAAGAGCACAAACCAGACGGCGGGGCTTCCACTCCGTGCACCGTGGAGATAGAGAGCTGCTCACGATGCCAGGACACGGCTAAATAAAACACGTCTGAAAGCGAACCGAGACGTTTTTTTATTCTTGGAAGTTGTTTTCATTAGATGACACTCGCTCTGTTGAGTTCTAGGCTTGTTGAATCTCGGCCAGCRGGGTCACGTTGAGGCTCTCTCCCAGAAACTTCACCTCTCACGTCAAAATGACCCAGTTTTACATCTGAGGCCTCGGGTCATTTTGACCTGAGGACGGGTCATTCAGAAATAGACTCGCATATCAATTCATCCTGAATTAAGTTCGAGGCAAGAACTAAATATAGCTAGAGGGCTGTTCTTGAAGATGTCCTTGTGAGTTTTCAGACTTGTCATGATCTGGTGTTGAAGATGACTCTCGGCTACTACCACAGCAAATTTTAGCTCAGCATCTATAAATAGGACTGAGTTGTTGCCGTTTTACTGTTTGCTAATGTCTGTTAGCTGGGGCAGTCATCTTGAATCAGCTGGACTCCAAAAGTTAATCAGTTGTAGACGTGCATCCAGTAAATACTTTTTATGAGTTTCACAAAAATCCATTAATTGGTGTATGAGATATTTTGCTAACAGACAAACAGTGATTACTCAAATATTTAATGCAGGCGTTCAAAGCAAAGATCTTATGTGATAATTTAGCCCTTTGATTTGATGTTTAAGCTGACTTTCAGCTATTACCACACCAGATTTTGGCTCAATAGCTGTAAAACTAACTGAGTTGTAGCCGTTTTAGTGTTTACTATTATCGACTAGCTATGGCGGCTATCTTGAATCGGCTCGACTCCAAAAGTTAATCAGTTGTTAATGTGCATCCAGTGTTTGCTCAGTGAGAATTTTGTGGAAATTCGTCACGTGGTTCAGGAGAYATTTTGCTAACAGCCAACTAAACGCACAAACACATTTAGTTACATGACTGCCATCCCTAAAAGCTGGCAAAAACTTTTTTATTTTAAATGAAATGGAGCWGGAACAACAACATATAAACTGAACAAGCGGTCACATGCATGGGAACTGACACATGAGAGCAGTGGGGCTTGTTCCTGCAGCTATTTGCAGCTGCAGGATGATGTTCACGTGTTTTTAAACTGTGGAGACTAACAGAGAGAGAGAAAAAAAGAAGGGGTGGTGAGGGAGAAAAAAATCCCTGAAGGTAAAGAGGAAAAAAAAAACTGTAAAAGACACAAACAAAACCAGGAGAATCGTGCATGTAGAAGATAATGTTACTGTTTTTCTCAGAAGTCTGTTCTTACTGTAACCTAATCAGGATAAACAACAGCTGAAGAAAGGCTTTTATAAATCAGATAAATATTCTCACAAATATAATACACTCCAGTTTCTACTGTGGCCTTGATTCAATTAAATCAAGACTCAGTTTCTCAGTAATGATAGGTTTAAAGGTCTTTTTGTGCACCTAATCATTAAATGAATCAATTGAAGTTGAACACATTATCACCAAGGAATATTTGCTTAATCCARTTGATTGTTGCTAAATATCCTGGGTAACAAATAAAAGCAGAATACTGTCGTTTTTACTACCCAGATACTGAAAAAACGCTTGAACTGAACATTTTGTACTGTTTTGAAACAATTTAAAAAACTGACATCAGTGTGAGGATTTAAAACAGAACTCCAGCAGTGATTTTAACCTGGAGTTAAATGTGTGATTTTTACCTGGAAAGGGATTGTTTTAAATCAATATTTTTTTATTTATAATTCTGGGAAAAGAAGGACAAACGGGGCGGATTTGATTGGTTGGTTCCGCTGCAGGGCGGGGCTTAGGCTTGGCTACAAATACACCGTGTTCTCCTCGCGCTCAGGTCAGACCAGAACAGATTCACATAAACACAATAAAGCCGGAGGGACTTTCCGTCGTTTTTAACAGGTAATATTCCACTTATTTTGTGTTTGTTGAATTTTTGACGCCAGAATCAGGGAATATTACACAGCCTCGATGGAGTTCTTATTCTGTAACACGTGCATCAGTCTGTCAGCAGCTGACGCACGTCGTGTTTCATCATCTTCAAAAAAAAAAAAAAAAGGGGGAAATGACTCGTGACAAACGGATATTCTGCGTTTTTGCCCGTGTTAGGTAGTTATTTTAACTTTATTTCGCCGCTGTAAAACGCTAACAGCCGTTTCAGTCTCGGTAATTTCGTTAAATGTCGGTTAAATTAAATCGGGATGGAACGAACCTGTCAAAAAAAAAAAAGCCGGCCGGTCTACGCCGGCTACTTCCGGTTAAASAAATTGACTAAAACTCGGTTCTGTTGGTAATTATTGCGCGTTGAATGATCAGGGGGACAAATGGCAGCATGTTTAAAGTTTTCATCCACCCGCGAATTATCGCGCCATCCTGTTGTTAACGCTTTGTCTCTTTTGTGTAAATGAGCGCCTGCGCTTTTATTGTGAAGGTACTTCCGCTGAGGTTGTAAGCCGGTGCGTGTGTTTCATCAGAAACCTGTAGTGGTTTAAAGGAGCCAGGCTCGTCACTCAGCTGTTAAACTGGTTCTAAAGAGCTGTGGGGGAAATTCAGGCGGTTTGTTCTGGTTTTTATCAGCACCTCCTTTTTGTTTYGACTTTCTGATGTTATTAATTCACACATTACATAAAGAAGGCTAAAACTGGCCAGAATGTGTAGAAAGTTATATATTTTTCTTATAACTTCACTACTCTTTTGACGGTAAGTTTTGAAAAGTGTGATTTATTTTCTTTTTCTTCTTTAGTCCTCAGAACATGAGTAAAGACACAGAGATCGACATGGAGGAGGTGAAGCTGAATGACATGGCGGACCCCGAGAAGCAGCCCATGACGGGGGACGGCCAGCCCCCCGCCGGCGAGAAGAACGGCAGCGTGAAGCTGAAGGTCCCCGAGGACGAGGTCACGTTCACCGGCCTCTCTAAGGAGGAGCTGATGAAGGTTGCCGGCACGCCTGGGTAAAAAAAATAATAATAAATGATAAACACAAAAGCTGTGTTTGAAGGCCAGGATCTAAACATTCCTTTCATATTTATTGTTAGGTGGGTGAGGACCCGCTGGGTGCTGCTGGTCCTGTTCTGGCTGGGCTGGGTCGGTATGCTGGCCGGAGCCATTGTGATTATAGTCCAAGCCCCTCGCTGCAAACCCATTCCCGAGATGAACTGGTGGAACGAAGGACCCATGTATCAGATCTCTGACCTCGAGGCTTTTGCTGGTGGAATGGAAGGTATATTTAGATTTCAGAATAAAATCCCACCCCACACCCTCCCTTTTTTTTGTGGTTTCTGTGTCAGCGTTGTTCCCAGAATGAGATTCTAGAGGAAACGTTTCAGACCCAGCTGATTCACGTGGGAGAAGTCTTGTGACTGCGTCTTAGTTCTGGCCTGTATCAGACAGCTGGATCCTAAAACTGCTGACTCAGCTTGGCTCTGAGTTGACTACAGGCTGAAAGGACACGAGGCAGAGACTGAGTCTCCTCTTTTCATATCTTCTGATCAGATCCGAGGGTTTAAGCTGAGCAACACTTCCTATTGAAGTTTTTATCCCTTGAGCTCGTTTTTGTTCTGTTTCTCTAAGAGGCCGGCAGGAAGGACAGAATGTCCTGAGCTCGTAGTCGATTAGTGGGGAACGCTGCAGCTTCCAGCAGGTTTTTGGAAGGACTCCAAACACTGCACGTGACCTGATTGTTCTCGTGTAAAACAGGACCTCCTTGTGCTCAGGCCTCACACGGCCAGCAGAGGATGCTGATCGAGTCAGACGCCACAATCGCTGTTCTTATTTCAGGGTTCCTGCAGATCCTTATTAAGTCATTGAATTCATCAATCCAAAAATAAGGCCTTAATTAACCTTAAAATGTCTTAAATCAATCTGTCAGAAGTCTTAAAAATGTTAACACATTGCAAATAGGATGACGTCTCAGATACTTAAATAATTGGTGACATTTTTTTTAAATATTCACATGCAGACGTTCCCCTTTGACATCACTTCCTGTTGCTTCACATGCAAATATCTCAACTGTCCACCTGAGCATCGTGAAATTTGTTTTGTAATATGTTAATTAGGGCTGTGTTTTGGCAAGAATTTGGCGATACGATACATATCATGACAGTGGGGTCACGATACGATATATCCCGATATATTTCGATACTGTAAACAAGGCGATATATTGCGATATTTTTGGTCCAAAAATTCTATTAAATAAAAACCTCTTACTGGGGGGAAAAAAATTGAAAAACCAAAATTCATTGTCTCAGAAAATTCTAATATTACAGAGACTTACAGCTTTTCTGGATTCAGCTATCTGAGCATGAAGCTAATGTTTACTCACAATGCTAATGCTCTCTTACTCTCTGGTGCTCAAGAGGTAGAGGAGCCAAATGTCTGGCTCACTGCTGCCAACTAGTGGTCAGAGGCTGAACTACAACATAAAAATGAACGGYTGGCAGGAAAGTTAATGTTTTAAACCTTAATAAAAAATCGATACAGGGCTTTAGAATATCGATACAGTATCRGGAAATGAAATATCGTGATATTTCAGTGTATCGATATTTTCTTACACCCCTAATGTTAATAATGTTTTCTTTCCAAAAATGCCTTCATATTTCTCACAAAAACTGATGTCACGGGCACTTTAAGGTTTTATCTGCAGCGAATTGTGGTTAAGACCCCACTGTGGGTCCTAAAACTCCAAATTTCAGGTCGTTAAGTTTAAAACTAACTGATAAGAATGTTTCTGCTATAGTTAGATATGGATAAAAACAATTGGTCTATTAGCAATGTTTGAATACTTCAACCAAAAATACTTTGATTCATGAGTTTCTGCCACAGTTTTAATATATTTTTGTCATTTGGGTTTATTGTGAGATTGGTCTTTCAATTTAATTTCACTTGGCATTAAAAGGTCTTAAATTAACTTTGCTTTAAACTGCAGGAAGCCTGTATTTTAGTCTCTATCTGTGTCCTGATAGTCATCTCACACCAGCTCCAGGTTGTGTTAGCCACGTGTGAAACTCACACCTCTGTGTTCTTTCCCAGGTCTGGTGGAAAAGATGGACCAGCTGACTCAGCTGAAGGTCAAAAGCCTGGTTCTCGGTCCTTTTCACACGGTGCAGGCRAACAACCCGGCGACCCTCGACTTCACGGCCATCGACCCGACCCACGGGAAAAAGGAAACTCTGCGTTCTGTGCTGGAGAAGGCCCACAAGAAGGGTGGGTCATTAACCTCCTAACTCCAGTTTGTCTTTAAAACAAAAGTTTGACGTAACCGTTTCTTTTAGGTATTTCCGTGGTGCTGGACCTGACCCCCAACTACCCGGGGTCTGATCCATGGTTCACTGGAAATAACAACGAAGTGCTGGAGAAGCTGAAGGTGGGACGTAGTGAAATCTGGTACACTGTCAGTAAAATGACCTCGCTGCTGCAGCTCATGTTGATCGTTCTCTCCTTCAGACCGGAGCAGAGTACTGGCTGGGCTTTGGCATCGACGGCATCAAGGTGTCGGACCTCTCCCGGGCGTCGACCTTCACCGACTGGCCGACGCTCCGAGCAGCGGTGCAGGGCAACCGCACCGACGGAACCAAGAAGAGGTGAACACTACTTTTTATTAAAGGGGACCTATTATGCAAAATTCACTTTTTAAAGGTTTTTTACACAACTTTGGGTATGTACTTTAAAAAAAAACAGTCCTAGGACCAAAAAAATGCACCCAGGGGCGTATTTACTGTAAGTAAATGTATTTTTAATGTATATTAACGACAAGTTTTATACTTCTGTCATTTTGTGATGTCACAAGCCGTACGACAACCCACCTGAACCTGCGTTCAGCCCCTTACCTAGCAACCCCCGGGTGAGRCTCCACCTCCTCAGTATAAAAAGCTGACACGGTTGTTGTTGTGTAATGTGCAGCTCATTTCACAACAAGCCTCCAACAGGGCAATGGGTAGAGTGTTGGACCAGAGAGTGGGAGACCAGGGTTTGAGACCAACACAATTTAATTTTTTATTTTTGTTAATTATGAACACRTTTTCTCATGTACCTCTATTGTTTAGCTTATTAAAGCCTTGTTAAAGCCTATTTGTTCGAGTTTCTGAGGTATTTTGACCTCTGCTGCTCCCTGTTCTGGTAACAGCATGCAGAGTGAGCGCAGAGCAGAGGAGGGAGAAAAAAAGAAGCTGCGACCGACTCTGCCTCTGGGTCTCATATGGTTGTACAACGGAGCTTCTGCTGTTATTAGCCATAATAGATGCTGGCTTTGGAGGGCGGAGTTAATGTCAACAGATTTTTGGAGGGCGTTACCAACGGAGCTCATTAACATAAAC